AGTCTCTTGAATCTTGCTAGCAGTTCTCTTTCCTCTTTACTTTAAAATGTTAATCCAGGATTTAGAATGGGTTTTCTCAATAAGATTGATATTTGGGACTAGGTAATTCTTTATTGTGGGGATTATTCTGCATATTATATGTTTAGTAGCATCACTGTCCTCTACCCACTAAGATATTACCTAATATCTTCCTATCTTTCTAAGCATACAGCTCTGTGTAGCATGTAGAATGCTTGTGTAGCATGTGTGAGGTATTTTGATCACCAATACCACCAAGGGGGATGATCTGTCTTAGACCTAAACAGAGGATACATCTCCAACTAGCCTGCTGATTCATACTTACCTGAGCTTCTAACTGTCTCAGTGTTTCTCAGCCTATATTAAACAGTCCATTGGTGGCAGAATCCCAAGCTTCTGAACCTAATGGGATTGAGACCCAGGACCATTTTACACGTTTTGCAGATGATTCTTATTTAACTGATAAAAACTGGTTTTGATGAAATTCAGATCCATGTGAATTTACCCTATTCTCCTTTGTTGGTGGAACTGGGAATCTGATCCCAGTTCCAACAAAGTCATTCACACTTGCTGCCAACTAAACAAATGGATGCTCCAGCTTAACCTCTGGCTGTGTTGACATTTCAGGTCTTGTATCTTCACTTACAGTACTGCTGTATCTCCTTCTGGGCCCCAAGAAGGAGACTGTGCACATACTCTCAGATTTCCTTAGATGTACACTCAGAACTCTCATGTTTGTCTCTATGCAGATGGACACTTGCTCTAATACAGTAGCTCTATTAATTTTCCCAACTTCCTCATATTTTTGTGTACATGCCTGCATTCTGGAATGCATTTTGTAACTGCCCTCAACCATGTATAAGATGGAGGGGAGGAGAGTACATGGTTTCAACAGTGATCTTTTATTATATAGGCTGCCAACTATTGGGTTACACTTTTTTTTTTTTTTTTGGTAGCAGGGATCGGACCCAAGGGCACTTTATCACTGAACCATATCCCCAGCCCTTTTCTTTCTTTCTTTCTTTTTTTTTTTTTTGAGATTGGGTCTAAATTGCTTAGGGCCTCATTAAGTTGCAGAGGCTGGCCTTGAATTTGCAATCCTCCTACCTCAGCTTCCCAAACTGCCAGGATTACAGGAGTGCACCACTGCATCCGGATTAGTTTTCACATTTTAAAAAGGGCAAATTTGACTATACCCATCTCTGAAATTCTATTTAAATTACTGGGAATTTTGTGTATTGAATGTGGGTAGGATTAAGTGATAAGAGGAGGGATCCAAATTAGTTTATGAATCACTGAGAAATTTTTGACCTATTAGAGGCAGCCTTTTATTCATTTCAGATTTTTTCCCTGTTGTGTCAACAGTAGTTAAATAACTAAGGTGCAGGAATTTAACTGGCAGTGGATACTGAGATGCCAGTAGTTTTTCTAAGCTGGAATTTAAACCCTGATTATAAGGCAATATTTAGATAGGGGTAATGGAGAACTAAAAGTATAGAAATTTTGTTAATTTTGATGTTAATATCTGAAATTATGGCAGCTTAACATCAATTATTAATTGAACTAAATAATTTAGGTTGTTTCCCAAAAGCTATCCTCTCACATTCCATTTGTACTTTTGCAGAGATCTTATTTGATACTTAAAATAAGAGCCTGAATAACAATTTGGATGGAAGACAAGAATGATAATCTTAACCAATATTATCATTGACAGTGTTATCTTGGATTCATAAAGAAAGTGTTCCTCTTTTTATGGGAAATGGGAATGATTGTTGATTCTATTATATTGCTGAGAGGTAAAAGTACAAGAAAATATACATGAATACAATAATTAGAGCTAGCCCTTGCTCTCTTAAAAAAAAAAAAAAAGTAGTGAGAAAAAGGTTTGAAGAGTGAAATTGAGCCCTTCTTCCTCTTCTCCTTCCAAAATCTAATTAAAGTGACAAAAACAAGCAAAGTATAGCCGCACTAGAAAACAACAGTACCATCAATACAACAGCAATTTCTAGGCATTTTAAGATAACAAGTAGGTAGGATTTCAGGTGCCAGTGTGAACAAATCCCTAAGGTAAATGAAACAGAAACATGGAGGTCTCACCAATTCTGAGCAGTGCAGGTTGGTAACAAAGATTAACCTTGAGGTACCTGGAGAAATATTGGAGGGTGCCTGGGACAGGAAAGGGGTTGGTACCAATGTACATAATTTGCTTTTCCCCAGTTAGCATTTTCTTTTAAACTGAGGAAAGTTGTGATACGCTACTGCAGGATGGGTTTTTTTTTTTTGAGCTAGGTGCTTAGATTCTCAGCCCTTGCGCAACAGAAACAACCCTGCAGATGCCTAGGCCAGAACTTGGAGGTTAGAACTAAAGCAGATCTTTTTTTTTTTAAAGTTCTCTGCATTAAATAATGTGCACACATGGCTCAAAATTCCATGGTGGCCACCAAGTGCTGTTATCTCAGAGCTTCCCAACCTGGTAGTGGTGGCCGGTATTAAATTGGTAGGTAATGCAGAGGGCAATCTTAATAAATTATTCAAGCTGCAAGGCTCTAAAAACCTGTAGGGACAACAGGCAACCTGGGACATAAGATCACTCTAGTTATATAGGTGGGCTTATTTATTCCTTTTAGCTCTGTGTGTAAATAGGCAGTTGCCCAGAGAGCCGAAGCTCCCATTAGGAGTCTTTTCTGTTTATTCTAGTAAGCTTTGTGACTATTAGCATTTTTACATGTGCCATGATATATAAAAGTTTGACAAGTACTGTTTTTAACTAATCTCAACTATTAATAATATATGATATACGTATACATTTTGGAAAGCGATGTCACCTTTGTTGAATCCCTGATTTAAAACACTTATCAGTAGACTGCATATTGATATGAAGCATGGACTCAAGCTAAGGATGGTCTCCCCTTTATCCCATGTGTAGCCACACATGCATACTTTCTTTTCATAATCCCATGAAATATACATTGAGAGACTCTACATTAAACCCTAAAACAAGCCTACATAAATGCAAAATAATCACAAGAAAATTAAGAAATTCACAAATATGTGGAATTTAAACACTACATTCCTAAATAACCAATATGCCAAATAAGACACAAGAGAAACATAAAATACATCAAAATGAGTGAAAATGAAGACAACATACCAAAATATGAGATACAGTTAAGCAATGCTTACCAGATATATATTTCTGCTAATTCCTACAATATAAAAGATCACAAAATATATAACCCTAACTTTATACCTTACACAGCAAAAAAAGCAAACTAAGCCCAAAGCAATTGAATGGAATTAACAGTTAGAAAAGTGAATAAAATAAATAAGAGAAAATCCATGAAATTGGCACACTAAGCTAAAAAAATTTCAAATTAACAGAATCAGAAACAAAAGAGGAAACATGACTACTGGATGTACAGAAGTTAAAAAGGATTATAAAGAAGTACTATGAACATCTTTATGCCAATAAATCAGATAACATATGAAACGGGGAAATTTTAATGATACAATCTGCTGAAGTAATGGTATAGCTGTTAGGAAGGTGGAGAAGGAAGCAAGGTGGAAGAACAGAGACATTACCTTTTTGAAAGTTGAAAATATTTTCTAAAGTGAATAGAATAAGAAAATGAAATCTAAATGTTAAAGTTATACAGGCTATGGAAAATCTAAAAATAAAGCTAAGAAAAATTTAGGAAAGTAATGTTTCAGTGATGAAAATTTTCAATACCTTTGAAGATAGTATACATGAGTAATAAAGGTACATCACAACAAAGAAGACCCGGAGTCAGAAGTGGCTAGATTGTAAGGTTGGAAATGGGAATGGGAGAGCAGGAAATGAGATTTGCCTTTCTTCTGTGACCGTTGTGATCTGTCTTTATAGATTTATTATTAAAGTTTTTAAGTAGAGAATTTAAATATCTCCACGTTTAGAGGAAAAGAAAAGCATCATGAACAGAAGTTCCTAATCTCAGAAGAGAATGCAAACTCCATTTGATGGGGTTTTAACCAGTATATACATGTCTGAATGTCAGGTACTTTTTCCTTTGTTTTGCAGTGCTGAGAGTGAATCCAGGTCCTTGAACATGTGCACATTCTTGGCAAGAGCTCTACCTCTAAGTACAACTCTAGCCCTTGAGTGTAATGTAGAAGTTCTTCAGATTTTTTTTTACAGATTTTGGAATGTGTGTGAGTGTGTGTGTGTGTATGTGTGTGTGTGTGTGTGTGTGTGTGTGTGTGAAGTGGGACCCAATTCTACAAAACTTCATTTTTATTTCATACATACCTTTGTACATATAGCCTGAAGGTAATTTTATACAGTATTTTAGTTCGCCTGTTTCAACTATCACACAGTACTAGGTAGACTATTTTTCATTTGTGGTATCATGTCAGTGCTGTTTCAGATTTTAGAGCATACTGGATTAGAGGATATTTGGGGTTCCCAAAATTCATTTCTAATATTGTATTCCCAGAAGGAATTTACAACTTCATCTCAAAAAAATCCATATATATTCATATATTTCTTTTTCTTAGACATCACATATATAAATCAGAAACCATTATACAAGGCTGACTTATATGATATTTAGGGTGATTTTAAATCTCTCTGGAATCCTTTTTGGGGGTTAATTTAAATATTTAGCTCCTTAGCCAACAAACATTCTGAAACATAACAAAAGAATGGTTGTTTTATATCAAATATATAACCAGGGCTTTAACTATCAAAAGTACCTCACTTGTGAACAATGTGAGAGACTGATGATCCTTGCTTTGTGAAGTTTTACTTTCAGTTTGGAAAGTTTTACAAATTTAAAGTAATATATTCATTTCCTTATTCTTTCTAGAAGCTTAATTTAAAAAAAAAAAAAAAAAAAAGGTTGGTACTGGATACTATGAAGGAAGGAGAGTGGCTGGGAGAACAGGAAAAGTAAATCCTTACAGTAAACATCGGTACAACCAAGAGAAATGATGAATGTTATCACTTAATGATATAAAAACAATATTTTAATATAAACTGGTGGTGATAAATTTTAGGTATAGCAAATGTGAGGAAAAAAATCAAAATTTTCTTGTTTCATTAAATCCACTCATAGTATAGTAATACCAGTTTTTAAATTCAGAAATCTAAATACAAACATTCAGAGTTAACTATAAAAAATAATATACACCTTGTTTTTTTTTTAAAAAAAGGGGCATTTCCCCTAAAGTAGTTAGCCAAAAGCAAGAGCAAAATTACATGATTAAAACTGGCTGAAATTGCATACATTATTCAATAAACATCAGGGAAAAAAAAACCTTCTCTCCCCTCATAAAAATTATTCAAAACACACTGCCATTCCAATGAACAAATGTATAAAAATCCAATTTATACAAAAGCATAAACATTGCTTCACTTTATTCTTCATCATCTTTCCTTTCTAGCACTCATTAGCTCCTACAGCATCTACTTTGTTGGGCCAAATTAAGAAATCTAAAAAGTGCTGGGCGCAGTGGTGCACACCTGTAATCCCAGTGGCTTCGAAGGCTGAGACAGGAGGATCTCAAGTTCAAACCCAGCCTCAGCAACTTAGTGAGACTTTGTCTCAAAATAAAAAGGGCTCAGAATGTGGCTCACTGTTTAAGCACCCCTGGGTTCACTACTTTGTACCAAAAAAAGAAAAGTGGAAAAAAGTAAGACTTTGTATGAATAGTCACTGGTTATTGATGCTGAGTTATTGTTTATAAAAACTTATATATGGACGCCATGTGGTATATGGCATCCAGTCTTCCACATGTACTTACATTTATTAAGAAAGGCTAGGAAATAAGATTATTATATTATTTAAGGTATTAACAATGACCTTCTTTTACAAATAAAACCTGATTTATAAAGTGGCTTGTTCCAGTTATTTTCATTGTTCTACACCTTTTTTTCCATTATAAACTATAAGTACTTGAGAAATTACAAAACACCTAACTTCCCAATAAATTTTGGAAGGTTTAATTTAAATGAATATAAAATAATTTATGAATTTAAATGGTAAGAGCTCAGGGGAAAGTTTCCTGCAGATTAATTACAAATGTTTTTATGTTACATTTATCCTGTAGATTTTACATAACTCATTTCTCTATTTCTCTTATTCTATAAAATTCACACTGACTCCCTGAGCTCATATGAAGCACAGAACAATGACTTACAATTTTCATTCTCCTAAGGATGGTATCTAATTAGTACTATTCTAGATGCCACAGAAATTAGGGCTCAATTCTCTCCTAGAAATCTACTTGAGAAAGACTGATAAAGCACTAGCATACCTTGTCCTCTTTCCTCTTACCTCTAAACTACTCTGGCCTCAAATCCATGGAAGCTATTTTAGTAATGGCAGACTTTGTCCTATATTCAAATCCATAGGGAAAAGTTTGCAAATATCCATTTTTATACATTGAAACCTTATTTCCTCTGAAACTATATTTTAACCTTTAGTTCCTATCTTTGTCAAATTCAGTATGTAAACAAGTTATTTTTGTGACATTTTACTTATTTTCCATTCGTAATAAAAAAAAAATCTCCAAAGTTACTGAACCTGGGGGCACATACATACCTATAATCCCACCAATTCAGGAGGCTGACGCAGGAATATCATAAGTTTAATGCCAGCCTGGGCAACTTAGTAAGATACTGCCTCAACAATAAAAAGTAAAAACGGCTGAGGATATAGCTCAGTGGTTGAGTGCCTATGGGTTCAATCACCAGTGAAGCAACCAAAACCAAAACCAAAGCTAAAATCAATCTTCAAACTCTGGAAACCTAGAATCTACAATTCTTAAGGATTTTGAATAATATATAAAGTACATATAAATTCTGACTTAGCCTATGTCTTTGAACTGATCTTGAAAGACGAATTATTGGGGCTGGGGATGTGGCTCAAGCGGTAGCGCGCTCGCCTGGTGTGCCTGCGGCCCGGGTTCGATCCTCAGCACCACATACAAACAAAGATGTTGTGTCCGCCAAAAAAAAACTAAAATAAATAAATAAATATTTAAAAAAAAAAAAAAAAAAAAAAAAAGAAAGACGAATTATTCTGCCCAAAGAGGTGGTGATTTTGAAATTGTTTGCATGACCTGCCTAATAAAATAAAGAAATATTAAGTAACAATAATTCCCAACTACAGTGAGGTTTCTGTGATATTGCTTGCTAGAAACTTTCAAGGTACATTTTATTGAGCCATAGCACATAATTTAAGAAACTCTTATTTCACATAAAATGGATCTTTTTCATTATACTGCAACATAATTTGAGACTGAAGATTACTTTCCTTGCTAACACAGAGGAGCAATTGTTTAGCTTCAATAGCTTATGTAGCTTTTTCTCTTAAGATGAGTGACAATTCTAAAACAAGAACATCTGAAGCAGCTGAAAAAAAAAAATCCTAACGTAATAATACATGTGAACTTTAGTCACACCGCACTATGCTATAAACCATGAGTTGGCAAATTTTATCCATAAAGGGCCAGACAGTACATAGGATTTCCACACTACAGTCTTGGTAGCAACCATTAACTTTGTCATGGTAGCACAAAAAAAGTCATACATAATAAGGAGATGAACATGGGTGTGTTGCAATAAAACAGTGGACATTAAATTTCATATTAATTCACATTCATAGTCTTCTTTTTTAAAAAACATTTAAAATATAAATAAAATTATTAATTCACAGACCATGAAAAGCAGGTAGGGGACTAGATTTGAATCATATACCATAGTTGGCTATCTTTTATAAAAATCTTTATATTTATGCAAAATGCTTCAAATTCCTGACATTGGAGACTTGAATTTTTTAGATTTCTTATTTAAAAATCTGACCACAGACAAGTTTGTGAGTGTGTATATGTGTGAATAAATATATTAACATGAAAGAGAAAAAATAATTCAGAAAAAATAAAATTCCCTACTTACAGAAACAAAAACTGTAAAATCAATGTTTCATTTTAAAATACATAATCCACAAACATATAAAATGAAAAATTATAATTTTTATTCTATGCGATATAAAATAATATGCATAGATTTGAGACATAATTTCTTAGTTTTTACTTTAGGTAAAAGAAACACAATGAAAAAAAGGTTTATAAATCTCTCAGTCCCTTTATAAAAATTTACTGTTGAAACCAACTGTTACTTACATGTACAACCACCAACTCTGAATAAAATATGAATTATAGCTAGGAATTGGAATTTACCTAGAAGAGCTCTAGCTGCTTTTTAAAAAATGCATAATTACATCATAGAACACTGTGTCATCTATAATATGTCCCAAATTTGAAAAGAAACTCCTGCTTCCATATAAGGAAACAATACTTTTTCCATAATTGTCTTCCAGTATTAAAAAACTTCATAGACTGATTTACCTTTATTAAAGGTAAAATGATGCACTGCTACATTTGTATGGATTATCTTGATTCTCAGTAGTTCTTAAACACAAAATAAAATTTTGTGTGAACTTTCATCTGTTTAGGTTTTCAAAATACTAATACAAAATGTATTCAACTAGCAGAAGTCCATGGGCTAAAGAAAAAGGAATAGAATATAAAATGTTCACCAACTTTATCCTTTCTAGTTTTACACAGCTTCAGGTTATTGAGACCTAATTGGTTGGTTGTGCCTAATCACCACGAACATAGCCCCATCTTTTATCTTAATACTCCCCAATGCCATCTTTTGTTTGGTTCTTCATTTTGCGACGTATAAGATCACTTCGTCCAACTTCAATCATTTGTTCTTCCCAAGATTTCATTTCGTTATCATAACGAATTTTATCATCTTTAGCAAGTTGAATATATACCTGAAAAAAAGGAAAATTGTTAAAATAATTTATTTAAAAATGAGCTATTAATTTCTGGACTATTTCCATATATACATAGAAATTGAACTGGGCACAGAGCCTATAATCCCAGAGACTTGGGAGTCTGAGGCAGGAGGACTGCAAATTCAAGCCCAGCATCAGCAACTTAGCAAGGCCCAAAGCAACTTAATGAGACTCAATCCTCAGCTACACCCGCCTCACCCCACCCCTGAAAAGAAATTCTTTCACTATTCTATATGTAAAAAGGGGAAATGCAGAAGGAATGTTTTCATGAGATGTTAGATGAGTAAAAGGTTGAGAAAACTTTTACAAGTGTTAATGAAGTTACTAAAATTTTGGGGATTGAGGTATGAAAGGTGGTAAAAGCAGGGTAGGACAACCATTGATTAATAGTGGATAATCTTAAGATTACAAGTAACCCTGTTTCAAATACCAATTGTATTTGTAGTCAAAAACTACCAAGAAAAAAAGCTAAATTTGGTTTAATAATATGAAAATAAGTTTAAAATACTATTATTAGCAATATTGGGCTGCTTTTATGTGAATGAAGTCTTGACCTAATATATGTTCTCACAGATATTCTAATTAGACCCTGGAGACTAAAAACCATAATACTTACTTGCTTTTGAGAACTAGGCAGGTTTTTCCAAGTTTCATTTACATATTTCAGCTTTGCCTAAAAAACAATATATATTTAAATAGCAAAATATGGAGACACTTCAGTGACGAAAGAAAAATCTATTCATTCCAACAACAAAAACTCAGGTATCAATAATTATAGACAAAGCTATACCAGTTAACTTTTGTTTCTAAACAAAAACTAACAACTATTAAAATTTTCAAAAATGAATGGAATGAGGGTACTGTCTTTTTTTATTCAAAAATATTAATATCCAGGTATAACCTACATCTGTCATGGGCTAACTTTAAAGACTTGTTTTTATTTCTTCCCAGTAGATTTATGTTTTATTCTAAAATTTGTGCCTATATGGTTAGGTATAGTCACAGGAAGAATACAAGTACTTAGCTGAACTTAATTATGTGATCTAGAAAAAGTAATTTTACTTCCCTTAGCCTTGGTTCTCCATCTATAAAAATTAAAGGAATAGAAAGACACTTACTTTTGTTCCCTCCTGCAACCCATTAAACTAAATTTTTAAACATAAAAATTTATGAACAAAATTTACAAAAGTTGACAAATGCAAAATTTTGGAACTGAAAAGCAGATGGAGAAGTGCTAACTGGCTTAACTGACCCAAGAAACTTGGCTGCTAAGGGCAATGGGAAAAACCTACACCAAACCTGATTTTTTTTTTTTTTTAAGAGAGAAAGAGAGAGGGAGAGGGAGAGGGAGAGGGAGAGGGAGAGAGAGAGAGAGAGAGAGAGAGAGAGAGAGAGAGAGAATTTTTTTTTAATATTTATTTATTTTTTTTTAGTTCTCGGCATACACAACATCTTTGTATGTGGTGCTGAGGATCGAACCCGGGCCGCACGCATGCCAGGCGAGCACGCTACCGCTTGAGCCACATCCCCAGCCCCCCAACCTGATTTATAATGCAGAATTCCAAACAATTTGACAATTTGAGGACTGATTGAAACACTGTTTAAAAAGAGGCTAAATCCTCACATCATGGCAGAATCTAGGGTATTCATTCTCGAGAGTAAAATACAGTTACTCTGTGAAAACAAGGTATAGTTAAAAACAATAGCACCATGCAAAAACCAGAGATTGAGCAGGTGATGTAGCTCAGTAGAAAAGTGCTTTTCTAGCATGTGAGATCCTAGGTTTAATACCCTGCACTCATAAAACATACAAATACACATTTAAAAAGAGAAAGATAGATTAAGTGAAAATGTATACAGTATCCCAAGAGGGACAAAAAGAAAAAAAAAAAGGCTAAAGGAAAACACAGTATAGATTCTCTGTTTTCTTAACAGAGAATCAATTCAGAAGAAATTCAAAAAACAAATGTTAGCGAGAGTCAGAACAAAGAAAAAGGGAGAAAAAAAAAGGCAGATCATACTCCAAGGACCAACAATCAAAATGGTTTTACATTTCTTAAAAGCAATACAACAAAATAGAAAAGAAAGGAGCAATACTTCTGAAAAATTTGAAGGACTGTGATTCACAAACAGAAATCCATGCCCAATCTAACATACATATATGAGGACAATGATATTTTTTACACATGTAAAACTTGAAAAATTAATCTCTCATGCACCCTTACTGGGGAAAATGTTATACTTGAAGCAGAATAAATTAAGAAGACAACAATAGAAACAAATGCACCACAAGGATGATGATAATAAAGGAAGAGCCCAGGATGTTAGCTGTATGAGTCATAGAAAACAACATTTGAACTGAAATAAACCAGAGGCTTCAGACTGAAACTGACTAAGTGTACTGAAAGCTAGTGAACACTGAAGTGTTTGGGGGCTGAATTATTGACAATTACCCCTCAAAATATGCAAACAAAACTGAAAGAGAGGAAAAGAAAAGATATAATCAAGTAACTTAAGGGGAAATAAGTTTTGCAAGAAAGAAGAAATAATTTTAGCATATGGTACAGCTGAGCTGTGACTAGGACTCACATAATGATATAAATACACTTAATACTTGACTATATTACTATATTGGGAGGTGGAGAAAATGGAAATATGTGAAGAGTGGAATCAGATTTAAGTGTTTATCTGAGATAATGGAAGTAATGCTTAAAGTATAAGATAAATACTGTTTATAACTGAAAAAATTCAAGAACCTATGATAGATATTAAGGATGTATTTTTTTTTTTTAATTCACATGACCAGGATCATCCCTGGACTGTTAAGATTGAATAGACCAATCCTTCTGTTTTTATTAAGTATTCCACATATTTTTTTTTAAAGAGAGAGAGAGAGAGAATTTTTTTTAATGTTTAGTTTTCGGCGGACACAACATCTGTTTGTAAGTGGTGCTGAGGATCGAACCTGGGCCGCACGCATGCCACGCGAGCATGCTACCGCTTGAGCCACATCCCCAGCCGGATATTAAGGATGTTATTGAGAGATATGGAGTTAAGGATCAGCTAAAACAGTGGAATGTTCTTGTGGAGTAAAGAATGTAAAAGGGCAGTGAAAACTGCTTTTTTATATCAAACCTAAAAGAATATTTTGACTCTATGAGGATATATAACCAATATTTTTTAAATAAATAAAAATGATATAGTCAAGTTATATTTCAATTTCCAGGGATAAGGCCCAGGAATTAATTTTCCTAGGTGAGACCAAGGCATAGTCAGAATTGAGAAGCACTAATTTGGAAGGACTGTCCAGCATAGAATGGTCCAGTATAGAAAAGATAATAAAATTACAGAACAAGTTCAGAAGATCTATATTCAAAAAAATAAGTGTTATGGAGACAGAGATATTGATAAGAAAACTATGGAGATACTGATAAGAAAACCAAACCCAAGGTAGGTTAATGACTGAGCCAAGTTCCAATTAAAAAAATAGATAAGCTAGTATTTCAGTCATGTAGAGCCATAGAAATTCAATTTAAAATCCCAAAGGAAATAATTAAGTCAAAGTATACAGCCAGGAAAGACTGAGCAACATATATACATTATTTAAGCATATGATAAACATAGGTAGAGTACCAAAACTTTCATTTCCAATGGACAAGGATTATGGATCTTAACATTAACTTTTTATAATGCCATATTATATAAGGAAAAATACAATTGCCCCTTTGGAGCTCCTAAGAAGGAAAAAATGAAAAGACTAAGCCCCAGCAGTGACTGACAAGCTGGTTTTTTTTTTTTTTTGACACATTCATATGATGACATTCGCATGTATAACACATTCCTATGGGCATAACCAAAATTTTATTAAAGGATGTAACATGAAGCAATAGGTTATACTTAATTCCAAGAATAAAACATTATAGCTCTACTCTCATTCTTTCCAGTGTTCATAAAACAGTTGAGAACCGTTGGGCTAGAAAAGTCTCCACAAGAACATTAACAACTCTATAAATATGAAAATTCTGCTTTTTAAATTTAAAAAGTTGGCAAGGTGTGAATGTATTGGCAACTACATTTTCAGGTTAACTATATGTGGTAAGAAAAAAGATTTTTCTTTTCTTTCTCCCTGTTCCCTACTCCCAAGCACTGGGACTGAACTCAGGGCAATGCATGACAGACAAGCACTCTATTACCACTGAGCTACCCACAGCTTCAAAGATTTTTCTTTAAGAGATTCAGTAAAGAGGACCTTTTCAAAAGAGCTTAACTAAGGGGCTGGAATTGTACCTCAGTGGTAGAATGCTTGCCTAGCAAGAGTGAGGCACTGGATTAGATCCTCAGCACCACATAAAAATAATAAATAAATAATATTTTATATATATATATATATAATATTATATATATATTTATATATTATATATAATATAATATATATTATATATCTATAATAGCTTAATTGTGCCAGTGTGGTGGCACATGGAAAAAAAAAAAAAAAAAGGACTGGCTATGTGGCTCAGTAGTAAAGCACCCCTGGGTTCAATCCCTAGTATGGGAAAAAAGTAAAAATAAGAAAAGCTTAATTTCTGTAACTTACTAATTCCCTTTACCACCTGATATGATACCCTTGAATTTCCTAAGTAATTTTTAAATTAAAATAAAAATCTAAGAAAAAAATGCAGTTCAGTTTACCTGTGATGAACCATCCTTAACTTCTTGGAAGCTTTCAGATACAAAAATGTTATAAGCTGAGCGAGGTCTTTTTGGTTTTCCAAGCATTGTTAACTCCTGAATAAAAAATAGAGGGGAGGGTCAGGTATAAGTTTTAACCTCTATAAGACTTAATTTTACTTATAGAAACCATTCATTACTACATATTATAATTAAAATGTCATAGTTTTATATAAAGTATGTGATTATTACATCTTGTCAGAATTTGTTGATGGCACTACATTTTAAAAATTGTAATAGATTTTATGAATTATTTTCCAAACATATTTCCTTTACATTTTATTTTCATGGTCTCTATAGACTGAATAACTGAGCATATAAATACGAAACCTTTTTAAAGGATATAACAATCCCAGTTACATGCATTTCAACTTTTTTTCAAAAGAAGAGTATTTCAGTGATACTCACTCTTTTTTTTATTAAAGCTTTCTTTTTTAAACGTTTTTGCATGATTTCTTTTTCCAAAGATATCATTTGACTTGGAGTTAGCTGTTCCTGAATTCTGTTTATCTCTTCTTTGTATGCTTGCCAGTCTGCCTTATAAGCATCTTCATACATCTATAAGTTTAAAAAAAAAAAAGTCAACAAACTATTGTTGGCAAATTCAACATAGCACATCTGCCAGAGAAAGAAAACTACATGACTTCAGATGAAGACAGACTGAATAGTGGGAGAATAATGTGTTCTGAGATGTCTTTTTCATATACTTGCTAAACAAGGTAAGAGCATATTGCCAATCATTTACCTTCATTCCTATACATCGATACTCTCATCGTTTATGTATATCAGAAGGTATAAAGTGCCTTTGTTGATAGTGTTTAAAAAAATGTGGGCCATCTGGTCCTCTAAATAACATGACAATTGTTCCCAGTTGTAGAATAAATGGCCAACAATGTTGAAAACCTATGTGCTTACTTTTTTCTGTGATTCAGGAAGTTCCCTCCAAAGCTCAGCAATTCTTCTAATTAGTTCTGATATTTTCATATCTATGAATTGGAATAAAATGAAATAAGATGTCACAGTTTTATATCTCAGGATTTCTTTCTTTCTTTTGGTATTGGAGATTGAACCCAGGAGCTCACAAGCTACTACTGAGCTATACCTTCAGTCCTTTTGTTTTTGTAATTTTATTTTGAGACAGGGTCTCATTAAATTATCCAAACTGGCCTCAAACTTGCATTCCTCCTCCCTTAGCCTCCCTAGCACTTGGGATTACAGGTATGAGCCACTATACCTGGTTCTTGGGATAAATTTCTAGACTTCTAGGAAAATAGACTCTTTTAGCACTAAAAATCAACTTATATTTCAGACACATCTATACCATACTTAATAACAAGATTTAACTTTTCTTATCCAACAAATTTAATGTAAATAATCTAAAACTTTATATGACATTAATGTCTGTTCTTTAAAACTAAATAGATTTGGGCTGAGGCTGTAACTCAGTGACAGAGAGCTTGCCTAGCATGTGTGAAGCACTGGGTTTGATTCTTAGCACCACATAAAAATAAACAAATAAAGGCATTCTGTCCATCTACAACTACAAAAAATAAAATAAAACAAAAACCTAAATAAGACTTTAAAAATAAAGAACAGATCAACAAAAACAGTCCTTAAAAACTGACTACTTTCAAGTAGCTGGGTAATCAACTGCTTCAAGTGTTTTACTTTCATTATATTTCAAGTCTTTCAGGAATTACTAAGTTCATAAAACCTGATCAAAACACAAAATATAGTCTTAATTCATATAACACATCTTGTACTTCAATTACATAAATATCATTTGAAAGAAAAGTATTCTAAAATTAATACATGATTCTTCATTTCCATCCTTGTCTTAACTGGAATGATGAGGAGCAACTGAATTAATAACTACCTGTTAGTCTCAAGTCTATAATGTGAACATTTGTTATTATTGTTCTTCTGATTTTCACAGGTGACCTTTTGAGGTACTGAATGTAAAAGGGCTTTAAAAATCATAAGCAAAAATTAGTTATTATTAATTTAGCCTATAACTTTATAAAACCCCAAATGATACACACTATAGCTTTTCTAAGGAGTTAACAGATCTCCTATTTGGGTATCTTTTTTTCAGGAACTCAGAATTGAAAATATTTTTGAAATTTGCAATAATTTGCATACAGCTTTACAAATTACAGAACAGTTCTATATAAGTTATTTCACTGCAACTGTATGAATACCCTAAAGAAGAATAAGCAGACAACTAAGCAAGAGATAACCTGATTTGTCTGTGACCATGTAAGCCAACCACAACAGGCCCCAAGCTGAGTTTTTGCATCCTCTTGTTTGGGTGTTTTCCACACTACAGGTTATTTTAAAAACATTTTTCATTAGTTCCCTTTTATATTTAAAGCATTTCTATTTGATATAAAATTACATTTCCTATTTTACAGATCCAATAAAATAATTGTTCCAGTAGTCACTAAATGCTTTGGTAGTACAAATCCAGGTTTGCAATTTAACTCTTAGTGGCCTTTTTATTACATAATAAGAATACAAGCCCCCAAATTCCTTACCTGGGTTCTGAGCTTTAAATATGGGTAGCTGTTCTTTAGAAAATCGAAGGTATGAACTCATAGGTTTCTTAGGATAACTACCCAAGGTGGATGAAAACCACTTCGGAAAATACACGAAACTACACATAAGTAAAAGAAAATAAATAACCATGTCAGGTATTTAATTGCCAATATTCATAGGTACATGAGCACAGATTCCAAATAAGATGTCATCGAGAAGCTATATATCAGACACCTTCAACAACAATGCTACTGACTTCTTTATCTGTTGGGGTTCTTTGTGGTATTCAAGATTAAATCCATGGCCTTGTGCAGACAGGACGAGAGGTGCACCACCAAACAAACTACACCCCTATCCCTAAGAAATGATTAGAAACCCTGCTCTAGACAAGGGGAAGAGCCCTGAGGGCTTAAGTCTGAAAGCTGCTACCTTGTAGAATGGAGAGAGCATCTATACTCCAGCTCCTGGACTCACCTTCCCCCTGCCTAGATGCTGGCGAGAGATTCTGGGGGACAGGTGCTTTATCAGAGGACAGGTGCTCTAAGGTTGGCCGACAGGTCAGAGTGGGAGGAGTGGGGGAAGGGGCAGGGAGGGGAGCAGGAAGCAAGGTACGAGGTACTGAAGATATAAGGCTTAGTCGCAAAGCCACAGTAGATATGGCAAGGTCGAGACTGAATCACAGGGCCAGCTTGGCTCTGGCCTCCAAAGAGAGGCAGAAAGTGGAGGACAGTGTTTAATTTCCAGCCCCGAGACGTTCTGGGCCCCGCCAAGTGCGGGAGCGCGGTCTTACCTGAAGGGTGAGCGCAGACGATTTCCACAGCCGGAGCACAACTCCATTCCAGACTTTCCCAGGTCCCTCAGCACGCCCCACACTCCCCGGAGCAGCGCCATGGCGGCGGTGATGGCCGACAAGGCAGTGGCCGGGCCCAAATCCCGGAGGACCCTCCTCAGAAAAATCTAACGGCCTCAACAATGACAACTCGCTGCGAGTGGCCCGACTGGATTTGTTATCATGCCCGCCACTCGCGAGGCACTATGGGAAGTCAGTGAACATCCGGTCGGGACTTAGGGGGCGGGACGCGGCTGATCTGGCGCCGGCGCCGGAGGGAGTCCCCCCGGTAGGCGTGGCCAAGGGAAGGAGGAGGAGCGTCGGGGCAGTGAAGAGAAACTGCGGACCTCAGCCTGCGGAGGGCCGGGGCCTCGAGGGGGCGCTGCTGAGCCCCCGCTGCCCCGGGCCGCCCCCCGCAGTTGGTTGCAATGCGGGGCCTGGGAGTTGGCGGAGGGACAGCGGTGGCCTCGCCCCTAACAAGCAACAGCAAGCCTCGGACAGTGACGGCCTAGGGGCTGGCTGTACGTAACAGACAGTCTTACAGCGAGGGTACCCGACAGCTGTGCAACGCGTTGCTCTGGCTGCTGTGCCCCTCGGTTCAAGCCCAGAAACGGTTCCAGGAGACTAGGGGATCAGTAAACCTATAAATGCAGATTCCCGAGACTTGCTGCAAAGCTTAAGTCAGTCTGTCTTTGTGGGGGCTCTAGAATCTGCGTTTTAAGCGAATTCCGCTAAGTCTAACAAGTTCTAATGCCAGTGGTCTTGGGACTACATTTAATGCAAACTGGATTTCGGCTTCCATCTGCTGCACAGTCTTGACTTCTAGCCCTGCTTAATTTGAGCAGAGGAGACTTTTTCACAGATGTCATTTCTAGTTTCAGCATTAACATTAATGCATCAACGTCTTGTCCTGGGAAAATCGTATTCCCTTGCCAAGATTTATTTTCTGCCTCTGCAAATGAAGATGGGCTCTAGGTGAGTTTTCCCAACGAAAGCCCCGAGAACGTGTGACAATTACACCTTGAGATAGTGATTGATGTACAATTTTTGGTTTGTGTTGTACAAATACCATTTCCTGTATACGAAATGACCTGAGAAAGATAAGGAAAATCTAGATATCTAAGAGCCCTTCCACCATTTAAATGCCGTTATTTAAAAGATAAAACACTTCTTGAGACAGCTTGTGTTCTATTGAATAGTTGTTGTGTAAAAAAAAATTCTTACGGTAATATTGAGTGGAGTATTGCCTTCCTGTTGCTTCAAAACATTGGCACTTTGGAGCTACAGAAGACTAAGCCCACTTCTTCTTTTAAGTGGTAAACAATTATCACCACTTCCCTTTTCATAAACTCTCAGGGTTGAAAGGGATCTTCCAGGTCATCTATTCAAACCTCCCCTTCTGTCATAGAAGCAACAAGTTTTGTTTTGATTTTGGTCCGTTTTTTGTTGTTCTTGTTTTCTTCTTCTGAGTTTATAGTATGTATAAGGCCCCAAACAGTCAAAAGACACAAAACTTCCCCAAAAAGTTTAGTTGCAAAGGCAAAGAAGTAGACAGCACAGTGTTCTAAGAAGAAAGTGAGATAGAATTCCTTATACTTACATTCAAAATGATTGCTAAAATATTTCCTTTCTATTTTTCTAGAATGTTTTCATTCTATCAGCTGTTTGATATAAAGTTAAACTTCTCTTGGATAACTAAAAAATATTTTTGTTTTCAAGTGTCATTTTGAAAAATTTGCTGCAAAGTTCTTATAAAGCAAATTGATCACCTTTGTTTTCATCAGACACCAATCATTACAATGCAGTGATAATTTTAAGTGTGAAATTTACAAAGAACCATAACTGTACCTACTTAAACTGCCCTCCAACAAAAGGACACACGGTTTTGTTTACATTTGCTTTATAAAACAAAGACTTAGCAGCCCTTTTACAGAGTTCTGTCCTTTACTTTGTTCTTTGTGCATAGTAGTGCACACCTGTAATCCCAGTGGTCCAGAGCCTGAGGCAGTTAGATTGCAACTGTCAGTTATATCCATTGGTCTCCCATATTTTATATTGAATCCAGACCTTGCCTTTCAGTTTCATATCGATATGTCCACTGTCTTCTGGACATCTTCACCATTGTTTCTGATAGGTACCCATTTCAACATTCCCTGAACAAAATTCACTCTTCCTGTCTTGAACTCTTTCTCTTAGTAAAAGGTGCCAGTTTCCTATTCAATCATCCAAGTCAATAACTTGATAAAACATTTTAAAATCTCCCCACTGACACTCTTCTCCCATTAATCGAGTATGAGTATTGCTCCATCTACCTTATTTATCCTTTTAGTCACCAAGGGTGACTTAAAACTATCAACTAGAAGTCACTGAATCTAAAGTCGAGAAGAAATGAGAATAATTAGGTCTTCAAGCCTATACAGTTGCCTCCTGTCATTGGTTCATACTCTGCCATCTTTTCTCAAACTTCGACAGTAATCTTCCAACCTTCGGTTTTACATGCCTCCAAACCATATACCACAGTTATAGGGGCAATCATTGTAAAAGGTAAACACATTCGTGTATTCATTTCATATGTATTGAGCACCAACTAGATGTCAGGCAGGCTATGATCCTATTTCTGATCTTGAAACCTTCAGTGGCACCTGACTGCCGACAGAATCAAGTCCAATTCTCATATGCAGCATACAGGTCCTCTATGAACTAGCCTTTCTGTTTCCTCCATAGCTTTATCCCCACTTTGCCTTTTCTTGAAATAATTTATGATTTAAACACTTATTTCTTCTATTTAGTAGACACATCAAACCATTTCTTTTAGCTCTGAGTTTACCATTGCTTTTTGTGATATGCCAGAGTAATGGAAATCACTCAATCAAAATACAAGCTTAAAAGTAAGACAGGTCTAGGTTCAAATCCTGCTCTTATACTTACTAGATGTATAACTTTGACAATAACAATCTCTCACCCAGAGATTCCCCCTCTATTAAATGGGAATAATAATGTTTGACTCTTAAGATTGTTGTGAAGATTAAATTATATACTGGGCAAAAATTTCTTAACAGAGTCCCTAGGATGTAGCAATGGCTCAACAAATAAAGAATGGCTATTTTTATCCTCATAGTTTCAGAACAATTAAAGTTACCCTCAAATTTATAGATATTAATTATCTTCCAACAAAAGTCAAATCTGTGTCATTGCTAAAATGGAACCCAGGGCCTTGTGTGCACTGGAGAAGCACTGTGCTCCTGAGCTATATCCTCAGCTCCTCTTCTAATATATCTTGTAACTTTTCTTAAATTAGTAATTTATATCACAAACACTGTGGTAGATGAGAAATTGAAATAACACACCCTCAAGCTGGAATCATACTTTAATATTTTCAGAACATCTTTATATAATTTTGATTGTATGATTTATAAATCAGTGAAAAAGACAAAGTTATCTGATCATTGTTCCCAAGTACCAGATGAGAAAAACGAAGTTCAGAAGGCCCAAGGGATATAGTTCTAACAATGAGTTGTGTAGGTGAAAAACTGGTCTTCCAATTCATTGTCCTGTGCATTTCAATTATATCAGATCATTCTTCAGACTCAGTCAACAAGCCATACCACTCCAGCCCCAAGTAATCCTCAGATCTTCTAGAGTTGTGAGCTCATATCACTTATTGTGACTTAACTATATACCACTCTTGTTTCTAATCACTTCTATATTTGCATTTTTCTCCCTCAGTAAATGGCAAGCTATTTGATGGCATATATATGATGGCCTCTAGCACATAACACTAGTAAGCATGATATATGGATGGACAGACAGATGGCAAGATTACAATCTTGATAGGTAGGCAGGTAGGTAGGTAAATAGAATCTATGAAAAAAATGAGCATCTGCATACATTATTTTTGTACAAATTTGGCCCCACAGAAAATAATAACTTCCTGTTAGAAATATCATTTGCCAAAAGAATGGACAGTTATATGAAGATATGGGAACCATGTACAATTTTGGAATATACATATGAAAGTAATGATCTTTGTTGATACTTGTACTTTGGTAAAGCAGAAGGCAGAACCAATAATAGAAGCAGTGACTAGAGGCCTGGATAATTCCCCGCTAAATAATGGACTTAGATATGTGAATATACCTAAAATGAAGGGAAAATATTCTTAAAGAGAAAGCAGTATTGCTTTTAAATTATAAGGGATTTTTAACTTAGCTCCAATAGAAGCAATCCCCCACAGGTCAAGCACAGAAAACAGATGTGATTTTGAACTTAAAAGCAAAATATATTTCTGGAAGTAAGATAACACCAGAAACACTGCATTCATAGATAATTTATTCATCAACAACAATATAGCACCTTGATAGAAACTGGAAGTGGCACACAACGATAACATATTACTATTCCAAAGAAGTCACTCCAGCCAGGGAACAAAGTATAGACACAAATTACAGAAGTATAACAATCCTTTACAGAGCTGGGGATGTAGCTCAGTGGTAAAGTGCTTGCCTAGTATGTGTGAATTCTTGGGTTCAATCCCTGGCACCATAATAAATAAATAAATAAATAACAATCCATTACAACAATATGAGAAAAAATTTACAATTTGCTTACATATCTCTTAGATTACCTTTTCTGTAAATCAAGAGTTTAATAAATTATATGTATAACAACTACATGTATAATTTTTTTCTTTCTAAACATTTTCATTTATTTAGGGTCTGTTTTCACATCATTGGAGTTTGCCTTTAAAATTATTATAGAAAAGGAAAGAAGGGAGAGAGAAATCAGAAGAAAAATATTTTGCATAGTAATAGTTTGCAGCTATTCAAGTTATTTTATGAATTATTTCAATTGAAACAAGTCTGCATATCAGAATTATTTTTAGCTATTGCTGTAGCAGCATTATGAGGAATAAATATAGCTTTTCTATTTTAAAGCTGAGGTAAGACAAGCAAAAAGGACAGCTATAATTTTATGCAAATTCGTAAAACCTTAATTCATATTACCAGATATTCCTGAAAGTTGACTTAAAGATTGGAAGAAATCCATGGTTATGTTGACAGAATAATGCTACTAATAAGACAATATAAATTGTGTCTACTTTCATATTGCTGAAGCACCTAGTTCATACACACAATAATTATAATTCGTTGCTAAACTATGTCCTAAGCATTCTACATACATTATTTCTAAACCTTTCATAAATCCTACAAGGTGGTATTATTTC